AGTGCCATGTCTCTCTCTTTGATGCCAGCCCACAGCAAGGATGGACAGCAGCACTAGCTCACCCTTGGAGCCACCACAGGTCTGACTGCCCCACAACCTGCCCCGAGTCCCCCCCCTCCCAGAGGCTGAGCAGACCCTGCTGTTCCATCAATGCAGAGGGGCCAGGATGCAGGGGACCAGCATCCCTGCAGTTTCCAGTCCCTGGGAGGATGGGATTAAACCTCAGGGACACGGGAATAAAGCCCACTTTGCCCCACAGCACCGTTCAATGCTGCTATACAGGACTGGACCATACCTAGCATCTCCACAGGACAGGGCAGCAGACCTCAGTGAAGCACCTTCCATCCCTTCTCCTGTCTTTGTCCCCTACATTTATCTTTATCACCTCGGGAAGCCATTCATTTTTCTGCTGCGCATTGCGATTTATTTCCCTGGCACAGGGAGTTAGGGGCTCGGTGCCAAGCTGAGACGCAGGATACAGCGATCCAGCTGGTAGCATCAGGTTCCCAGATGCACACCTTCCCCCCTCCCATCCCCCCTCCACTTTACAGAGGTAAATACCAAAAGGAGGAGAGCAAAAAGTCAAAGTCAGCTGGATCCCACTCCCAATATCATTTTCCCTCTTAACCCAATGCAAAAGTCCAGCTGGGGAGGGAGCTCAGCTCAACTACGGGTTTTCTTTCAGCCTCCTCTTGTGGTTGGAACCCAAATAGGAATATTTCCAGCTGGGATAAAATTATCTTCCCATTTAAGCATCAAATCTGCCTGGTTGTGGACTGGACCCGCACAGCTTTACAATTAGCAACTTAGTCAAAGGCTACTTCGCTATCGCGTTTTCCAGAATCGGCTTCCCAGCTGCGCCGCGATATTATTTATCGACTAAATGAACTGATGCTTTTGCAGGAAAAAAAAAAAAAACACCAACAAGCAAAAAAACCCAACCCACAACGAGGAAACAATCCACTGGAAGGGATGGCTGAGAGATGCGCGGACGTTCAGCCTCCTTGGCAGCCCCCAGCCGACCCACTCCTCCTTTAGCTGCCCCCGCTCGCATTTGCAAGGCCACCACCTCAGCAGCAGCCCTAGAACACCCTCTCTCTTGACATATATATTTCATCGAGTTAATGAACAAGTCGCTGGCATCTGTTTTTCCCCAGCAGCTGCTCGCAGGGACAATTTGCCTGCTCTGGTTTTCATTTGGGGTTTTTTTGTGTGGGTTTTTTTATTTTATTTTATTTAATTAAGGCTGGATTGATGGTTGTAGCTGTCCCCAGCAGCACCTGCTGGCTGAAGAGGTCATGTCCTGCATGGCCCATGATCACTGCCAGCACTCAGGCTTTCATGGCCACAGTGCTCCTCTCAGAGGGAGAAGTCCTGTCAGAAAGAACCATGAGGTCTTTTGGACTTGGTGGGACAACAGCCTCCTTGCCCAAAGGCTCACTAGTACAGGCATTGGGGTGGTGATGCTGCCCCCAGTTAGGGTGGGCAAGTCCAGCCCTTCCCAAGGAGATGGTGTGACCTCGCAGCCTTCATCTCTCCACCTGCCAGCACAAATCCCTAGAGACATGTAAAAGGCAAGTTACTACTTGTGTCCTCCACCTCCAGCAGCACTTGAAATGAACTCAGCACCTCACCACCTCCTGAAGGCCACAGCTACCAGGTGCCAATGAAGCCAGGCTTGAGCCCCATCCACACAGGGAGCACAGATATTACCCACACCACCCTGTATCATGTAAGACTTGCTTGTGAGGAACCCAAAAGAATGTTCCACTTACAGAGCAGCAGAAGGTGGAGCCACCTCTGCCATCAACCCAGAGCAGTCAGCACCTAATCACACCACCACATTCATCTGCAGAGACAGCCTGCCCCAGTTTTGAAGCCCACAAGGGCTAGACATAGCTCCCCAACCTTCTGAGCATCCGTTCACTGGTGGCTTTTTTAATAGAAGAAAGAAATTATAGGTAGTTGCTTTTACTAGCTGTACTGTATGCCTTCAGCACATCTCTGTGCCATCTCTGCTTCTCCACCCACCACGGTGTCTAACCCAGCATTTGCCATCACTGGGCTTCTCAGGTGTCAACTAGGAGTCAAGGGACTTTCCCCCCCACACTTCTTTGGGAGAAGGACTATAACTGCTTTAATAACACAGAAAGAAACCCAACATTTCTCAGATTCATCTCAAAGACATCATTTGACATCACATTTTAATCCCCTTTGCAGTTTGCTGAACCCTGCCTGTCCTTTTAAAGCCAGAGGGAAGTCACTTCAAACAAGAAGAGCCCCTTGAAAACATCTAAGTGGCACCACCTGAACCCTTTTTTGTCCTGCCTCTGGGCAGCCAAGCTGCTGGTTGTCACCCTGGGGCTGGAGCGGTCTGGGCAGCAGTAGCCTCCGAGCGAGACCCAGAGCACCAGAAGCTGTGGTGATGGTGGTGGGATGAACTCTGCTGGCAGCAGAAAAATACTCTGAACAGCGCCATGGCCTGAGCTGGGCATCTCCCTACAAGACTACAAAGCTCTGAGAGAACAACTCCTCCAGGCTGATAACGAGCCTCACTGGCTTCTCAGGGCTTACCTGGGAGCAGGTCTCCATCCAGGGTGGGTAGTAAAGTCACCAGGCAACAGCACACATTTGGAGGGTGCTCCAACAGTAGCAGGGAGTCTTGCTGGCAGCTTCAATGCTAAAAACAAAAGCATCATTCAGGACAAAGAGGAGAATCCTTCACCATCTACAGGAGCCTAAAGTCAAGCAGAGATGTCATCATCATCTTTGAGTGAGGGAACACCTCAATAGGCCCGTGGTAGCAGGGACTCACAGTCCCACAGTCAAACCAGCCCCTATCCCCTCAAAGAGATGTTCCCCAGGATGTTCAACCCCAAACCCCACTCATGCAAGGCCAAGGGAGGCATCAAGGAGCAAAGCCATGCCCCTTCTACACTTTAACTTCTGAAGACAACACAGTCCCTCCAGCCCCCCTCCTTTGAACAGCAGCCCCCAGGGTGAAACCACCACTTGGTGCCCAGCACAGCCCATAACCCAACATCTCCAAGAAGGACCTTTCCCTAGAAGAGCCCCCAAAGGCAGGGAAATGGCTCTAGCAGGAGAGAAGCCTTACCTGCTCCCTCACCAAACACCCCACTCCCCCCAGCACAGCTCCCAGGCTACTTAAGGGCTTCAGAGGAGCTGATGCAGCCCACCTGGTCCCACCACATGGCTCCAGTCTGTGGGACTCCTCCACACAGCCATGGAGATAGGAGGAAGCCAGCCTCAATCCAAAGCACCTGCTGAGCCCCCCACTCAGCTACGGCCACCCACCTCCCCTGCACCGTGGGTCAGAAGGGGCAGGTGTGGGGTGGGACCTGAAGAAACTGGGGGAACTCACTGGGACAGCACCAGCTGCTCTGGTTTCACCTCGTATCACAGAAATAGGGAAATATAGGGGCTGTTAAGAGCACTATTTTCATACGAGAGCACCACGGGTCACATCCAGACATCTAACCCTCGTTTTTCAGTGTTGAATCAGAGCTTAAACTTGGTGGGGAATTTCCAGAGAGCGCATGTGTAGAAGAACAGCACAGCAGGCACAGCGTAACTTGCTTGTTTTAATAAAGATGCTATTTTACATTTATTTATAGCAGTGAGAAAAGTGCTTCAGAAAAAAGATACTCCAGTAAAGACAAGCTACAGTAACGCTGTCATCCCAGTCCTGGTATTTCATACATAAAAGGCGCTGCTGGATTAAGAAGAAAAGCATCTGTTTTACAGTAGAACAAGTTAAAAACGAGTAATTTTATGAAGAGTAACTGGTTTTTTGATATATTTTATTTCATTATTGAACACCATTAGCATGTTCTGAAATCCTCCAAAACTAAGAACTTTCTGTTAAGATCTAGGCTGCAAAACACCTTGGGGAGGGTATTACATGAAGATGGGTGGGAAGGTTTGTTGGGATTTGGGTTGTTTTAAAATCACTCCTCCATCCTCTCCTCAGATACTATTAAAAACACACCCGCACAAAACCACAGAAAATTGGTCCCCGTGCTACCTGAGTGCTGTTATTCTAGCAAACATCTCAGGTTCAGCCCAATTTGATGGCAATCCTGACAAGACAACGGCATGAACTTCACTTAGTGCTTCACCATCGAAACATCAAGCTACATATGTGTCTTAAAGCCCTACACCTGGGCCTTTGCAAGCGAATACAGCGAAGTGAGGAAGAAAAGGGTGTAAATGCGACTGCAGCTGGCAAAGGAATCTGAGACAGCAGGTCAGATGGGTGTCCAGGGGAGAAGGCTTGACTTTGAGGCTGTTCATGGCAGGCAGGCCAGCCTTGCTCCAAAGGGAATTCTGCAGGCACGCCACGTGCACACACCTGTCAACAAATCAAGCCCAAGGGTGCAATTTCTGGGAGCTCACACTCTCCAGCCACTCGCACCGACAGCTCTGAGGCCCTGGAACAAGCACATCATTTAAAAGGAACAAAACGTACTCGCGTACAACTTTGCAGATGTCAGCTTTATGTAAAAAGGCCACTTTCAAAGCTACCAATTTTCCCTGACAGCTGCAAGCAGAATAGCTACCTCCACCGCCTGTTATGCTTCACAACCTTCAGCTGCCCTGAAACATCTTCTGCTGTGTCAGCTGCTCATCACGTCCCATTCTGCGCCTCGTTAGCTATCCTGCTAGGCTGTCTCTGCTCTGACACAGTGAACGGTTCCTCTAAAAACTGCCACTCTCTCTGGAAACCAACCTTCACGGACCTTCACTGCTCGCTGGGGAACGTCCTCAGGGGCCTGACTGCCCTGTGCCCCAAGTACTGGGGCCGGGAGGGGGTGGGAGGGGAGGCACAATTAGCAAAACTCCTTTGCACCCACACTGATTAAGTCTTGTAATCATTTCATGGGTGCCATGACAACTTCGAATAATTTTTTTACTGATAGTACAGATAGTGTCTTCCATGGCAGTCTTCCTCGTCCAGCTGTACGCAGCACCTCTCTTGGTCACTGCTCCTCCAAAGGCAGCTGGAATCTTTCCTCCTGGACGGTATTGTAGGATTCACAGTTTTTGCATTTCATGCCTAGGAGATGGAACTGCACTGTAGACCGGGCATTGCAGTCGTTGCAAAGGATCTACACACAGAGAAAAGAGACAAGAGAGGAGCTTCAGCATCAGCAGGAGATGCAGCGATAAACCACAACCGTGCTTCTAGCGACCACAGAACTGGTTTGCCACCAGGGGACAAATCAGAAAATATCTTCCTTTAAAGACACCAGGGCTGATTTCACTTTTCCGTTTGTAACGACTCAGATCCCATGGTATAACCACAGAGAATGTACTCTTTCAGTATGGCAAGATGACTCCTTGCCTAAGTCAGAGATAGACATGCTTTGGCTTCTTCTCTTGATGTAGGAAACCACCAGAGAAACACTCAGTTGAAAATGAGGGCAGATTAACAGCAACGTGACCCAGTCTGCCGTGCAAGACAGGCAAGTGAGTGTTCTTCTCAAAACAGGCGGTAAACAGGTTTTTTTCTAAATATCCTGACTCCAAGAGTTGGCAGGATGGGTTTTCTGAACCGTAACAAATGCAACTAAAACATTAATGACCAGTGCTGTTTAATGCAGTGTTACCTGCAAACAGCAACCAGTTTTACAGCTCTGAGTTAACACATAGAGAGAAATAAAGCAGAAGGCTCCCTGTGTTAGCCTTGCACAAATCAATCGCTGAATATTTTTGCAGAAAACCCACCATGTTTAGTCTGGAACACAAAGCTCCAAGCTGTTAAAGAAGAAACGTTCCTGCTTTTCACCATGACAGTGCCTAACACTACTGGAGAAAGCAAGATACTTCCACAGACCAAACCATTTCTCTGCTGCGTGGCCCTACAACTTTTGGGATTGTTTTTTTTTTTGGAGTGCTTTTTTTGTGTGTTTATAAATCCAGTAGATGACACACCACATTCCACCATTCCCTGCCAGGTTGACTTCCAATCCAGGACAACTTCCTAGCGCCCTCTACTGCCAGTAACACAAAGGCACAACCTGCCCAGAACAGAGACACGGGCGCAAATCTCTTTTCTTACCTTCACCGTCACGTTCTGAAACTCTGTGGGCATAGGAGTCAACGCTACTTCCTCATCCATCTCACGCCAGCACCTTCTCATGTCTAAAGCCGAGTGCATGCACAAAGGACACCTGTAATCTCTGGCAGAAAGGAAAAAAAAAAGTCTGTATCAGAAGATGGAGTGGGACCGTGAAACAAGTCCACCAAAAAGGACAACTTTCATATCGTACTAGTCAAAAAGAAACACCACGAATCAAATAGTTCTTGCAAACAGAGCTGAAAATTAAAAGCCTCTTACTTCTTTAGGACTTGGATTTAAGTTACCGGGTACAGGATTGGCATAATTATCTTTTCCTCTCAAAGCATCATAGAATCATAGAACAGTTTGGGTTGGAAGGGGCCCTAGAAATCATCTAGTTCCAACCCCCCTGCCATGGGCGGGGACACCTGATTGTAATCTCTTTGGACTACAACAATATTAAGAGAAGAGATGCTTAGAAATACTTACTCCTTTAGCATGTCCTCGTAACATGTTCTGAAAAGAAAGCACAACGAGAAGTTCAGTAAGAAAAACGAGTTTCTGACTGGTAACACATTCGGACTGAACAAAGGGAAAAGGCACACAGCTATCCCCAAATCACAAGTTAAAAAAAATATCCTGAGTCCGAGTGAGAAGAAAGCTTCCCAACAAAATCACCAGGCGCTCAGGCAAAACTCTGGAGACAGAGCATGTCTGACTCCATTCTAACATTTTCTAACCTAAAATGAGGGAACAGAGTCAACACTATGACAAGGATTGTGTAGTTCAAGTTAGCTGAAAAAACAATGTTGATGTATCACAAGGTAAGTTTAAGACGAACAGGAGCTGAAGGAAGACTGCATCTGTGGAGACCTACATCAAGACAGAGACAGTAAGGAGAAACAAGAAAGCTAAGGGAATAACAAAAAGCTGCGTCTGTAACACAAGACAGAAACATGAAAATGGAAGGGAAACATGGTAATTATTCCTCCAAAGGCACCCAATACGATATATCACATAATTTTAAAATCCCAATAGAGCTGGCAGTTTATGTAGCACAACAGAATGCTCCATTGTCTTAGGGGGCTGTCTAAGGAAAGAATCTAAAGCTTAACTGATGAGCTGCCACTAAACTCTTAAAATCATTGAGCAATTTCTTTCTGCACTGAGGGACTTCTCTATGGAATTACTGACATTTAAATAGTAACAGAAGGAAATTCAGCATAGGAAAATTTAGGATGAACAGTACATAGATCCCTCTACCACCACCAAAATTGACTGCAGAAGGAAGACAACCTCTCTAAAGAAAGTGTTTCCTGGTGAAACAGAGACAATCCACAACTGTGTAGGTCCCCTGGTACAGACTATCCAGGCCTGTAGTGCCACTGAATAAACACCATACACAAGGCAGCAACTATCCCCCTTTCTCAAGTATCTGCGATGCTTTACCTGTGAAGAAGGTGACCACATGGCAGAACATGAGCTCCGACGCGAGCTGTGTGAATATCCTGGTTTGAGGCAAATATAAGACCAAAGACAAGAAAATTAATTCAAACAGTCAAAAATATAGTTGCACACAAACCCAAGAGATGAAAAGATGAAGCTCACCTCCAAACATATTGGACAGTTCTGCCTGGAGACGTTTTCAATACACTTTGCAAAAACAAAACAAAAAACCCGTAAGTTATTCTGCTGCATGGACACCTGTGTTTTTTTGAATTCTAAGATTCCTTTAGAATGGTAAAAAAAGATGCATGAAACATCACCGCTTTTACATTTGAAGTTCTGAGAATTAACAAGTGGCTTAGCATATGAAAAAAGAAACAGCTTGAAAGAATACGTAAGAAAAGGGCACCCAGAACTCCCACAGTGGCAAGGAGCCTAGCTTTTCCTAAACTGCAGCAGGAATGGGAGCTCAAATTTACGCACAGTCAGAGCTGCAATCAACAGCTCCTTTTAAAGGAGAAAGAGACAGAGATGTTTATTTCCTATAGCAGCAGCCACTAGTAGAGCCAGCCCAGAAGTGCTCTGTGTTGTCGCTAGGTGCTCTTAGAGAACCCTCTGCTCCCCCTGTCCACATAGCCCTTCACAGAGCTGAGGCTGTGGGAAACTGACAGAAGATTGGTGAGGAGGATTATAAATACGCTCAAGTGACTCGCATGTGGGGTGCTGGAGAACATATACATCACAGTAATTGTTGCTTAGTCTTGTGTGCTCAACAAGTAGAACATCTGCACTTAGGTAACGTAGGCCTGGGATGGACTCAGGGGCACCTTACTGAACACGCCACAGATTCCTGCCCTGCTGTTGGAGAGATCAAAGCACAGCAGAAAACTCTGCTGGCCAGAATCCTTGAAATACAGGCCCAAACAGCAAGTGGAAGCTCCCTCACTCCCTTGCTAACAAGGACTCTCCTGCTATTAAGGGCTCTTGTTCTGTGGTGCCTGCGTCCCCTGCTTGCCTGCCTGGGTGCTGCTTCAGAGGTTCCCTGATCCATGAAGTATTAAGACAAAAATTGTTCTTTGTCCTTAATTCACAAGTTTGTGGTTGTTCCTGTGTCCTGCCTGCATCAGCTCACACAGAGGCACTATCAACTTTTATTTTCAAAGTGTTTTTTTCAAGATACGGAGTATTCTTACCTTGTGCTTTCCCTGCAGACTCAAACTTAGGCATAAGTTGCATTTTGAACAGTGGAAAAAATCCTCCTTCGGCCCAATCCTGAGGAGAAAAGCGTCAGGCCAAGGCCGGGTCTCCCCTTCTCCCCCCCACCCTCCCCCCTGCCCTCCCTTCACGCACCTGCAGATCCCGCACCCGGCGCAGTGGTACTGCTTCTTGTCGCGGTCGAAGAGGTGGCAGATGTCGCAGTAATACTCCCCGAAGAGGTTGTCGCAGCCTTCGCAGCGCT